TATGTAGGCAGCCTTGCCCTCTTTGCCATTGAAAAGTAGTAATCTCATGTTGACATGAAACAAACCATTATCTCTATGATTCTCTATGACAGTTTATTTCAATCTGTGCATCTTTTTTCTGCAGTGCTGCCAGTTTTAGAATGGCTTCCTTTTTTCTTACTTTTTTTTCTAAAAATGAACATACTTGTTTTTCAGCCAAAAAACTTCTTGATGGGTTCTTAGAAGTGAGTTCTTTTTTCATGAGTGTTTCTCATGTACATGAATGTACCAAAACTTCAGCTTGATGCTATTACAAACCAGTGTGTTCCTATTTTGAAAAACTTTAGTCTTCAGTGGTGCTCTAGTCATGTATTTTGGACAAGGTGAAGTGCAGCCTCTTGCTTCTTTACTTTTTACAACTAATTACTGAAAGACTATGATGGTACCATAGCAGGGAAGACTTTGTAACTATTACGTATGTTCCATCCACTTTCAGACATCCAGTTTGTTTCCCCCATATCAAAGTTATGATTCAGCTTAAGTTAACCAGTGCATTTCTGCCTGCAGCTTCCCATACACCTGCAGCTGGATGTAGCATGCAACTGGCAGTTGAGCAGTGTTGAAGCCCTAAATACAGAAAATCACATGTAGCAAAACATACTTTAAAAAAAAAAAAAAAAGGGAAAATTCTCCTTGTTAGCTCTCCTTTTTTAGGTCATCTAGTCAACCTGTATCAATCCCAGCTTTTACCTGCTTAACTGAATTGATGCCAATACACTGTGTAGGCCGTATGTGTGAATCTCTCAAATCGTTATCCATCAATTATGTAAGAGTGCTAATTTTATTAGTGTATTCTATGGAGACAATATTACTGTAACACCAGTATTTTACCTCTGCCAGGTTGTTGATTCCCTATTATTAAATCAAGTCCTTTGATTTTAATAAGAGTAGATGCTCCTTTTTCCTCCATTATGTTTTTACTGGTTAACAGTTTTCACAATTGGGCATAACAAGCAAGCTGGACTCTGCTTGTAAAGAAGGAGATTGCATGTTGCAAACGTGAGTGCAGCAGACACTGGGGAGGCTGGAGGAGACACTGCAAGCACTGCCTGGCAAGCTGGTCCTTTGTGCTGGGAGCAGGGATTGAGCAGCGAGATCCTTGTCCTACTAAGGCACACTCGAGCCCACTGGCATTCAGCTCCTCAGTAATTAACTTCCTGACTTGTAATGGTACTGATCACTATCTCACATCCAGCAAAGAAGTGCAATGCTTTATTTGTCTCTGTGAATTATGTATCAGTGCTTGCTCATTGAGAAGCCAGGGCGTTCAGCATACGATCCAGTCAGACCCAATACATCCTCTCTCTACTTAAAAGTAGTTTTTTTCTTTTTTTCCCTTTGATATTTTCACAGTTCTTAATTGGTTCACGGCCCTTCTGCAGCTCCTCTGCAGGGACGATTGTGCTATTGAATCTGGAAGAATGCATATTAACCTGGCAAGTCACCTGCAGGCCTCTTGTTATTCCTTATTCTCCATCTATGTGTTGTGAAGATAATTTCAAAACTCAATTCTCCTCATCAGAACCTGCACAGCCCTTTCTAGTTTCCGTAACCAATCTGTCATTCCCAGTTTTGACACAGGTCATTTTCAGACTTGCTGTGATTTTGGCATGACAGTAAAGGTATCTTAGTATTCAGTATCGGAGAGCTAACCAGATTTTTTTACTAGTGAGTGCATTTTAAACTAATTTTTTGCACTGATGTGTATTTCTACTGATGTGAAAAGAGCTCAGAATATATTACCATTAAGCATAGGTTCCTATTTGATGAAGTGGAATAGGGAGTTATATTTTCCCTCAGAGAGAGAGTGAAAATCAATACTTATTTTAAAATGTATTCATGCTGAGTAGCTGAAGCTATTCATTTCAGTCCAGAAATATTGAGCAGCAAATTAAAAATAAAAAAACTGGTAAATAAAGAAGATTATATTTCTACAGGGGGAAGAAGAACTGCGATAACAACTTGCTGGGACTGTAACACAAATATCAGGTTAGGTAGGGCGTGAGCAGAGCAGAATAAGAACAGGAAGTAGCTGGAGTAAAACAAATTAATATCATTTACCATCTCAGGTGTTATCTTTTCTGGTTGACTTGACTTCCTAAAATATCTGCTTCTCGTTTAGTACTCTGAATCACTTTCACACCAATTTGTACAACAGACACGTATTTCTGAGTAAGTCAGGTCAGCTGTAGTTCCTTCCCCGCTTCCCTTGTTGCACAGGGGCAATTCTGTTGTCCTCTCTTCTAGCAGCAAGCTCCTACCCTGTGCTGCCTCATGAGCCTGTGGGGAGCTGCTGCTGTAACTTATCTTCCTTTCCTCATGCCTCCATAAGGATAGATTTGCTCGCTTTTCTAGGATAACAGCTTACCTTTCTTTTCTCTTTTCTTTTTTCTTTTCTTTTCTTTTTTTAAGTGGTTTGTTTCTTTCTCCTTAGTGCATGCAGAACACCTGCTTGGGGTACTTCCTTGGTTTTCTAATGACTTATTGATATCTTTTCATGCGTTTCCTGTTGTTTCTTTCGTTTTTAGAGCCTGGTCAGGTGATTCTGTTGCAGGGTTTTTTGCTGTTTCAGCAGTGTGGGCACACAGGAAGCAAAGATGTGCTGGGTTCCCTTTGTGGGGTTCTGGTGAAGTTCGTGGGTGTATCTCCGCTCACAGCTGTATTTGGGTGGTTTGTTCCTTTAGGAGGGATGTTACCTGCTGATAACACTTATCCAGTAAATCAAAGCAATATATTTTCTTGGCTTATTTTCTTGGTGATCGGGAAGAGAACAACTTAGATGCTCTACTTTTTTTTTATCGTAGATTTGGATAAGAATAGGGAATTCTTTACGACAAAAATTAGGCCCTTAAAATTCCCCTGTGCCCCTGGAAGTTGATGTGGTTTCTATAAATACTTGTTTTGTTTGCGTCGTCTCAGAGGTCAGGGAGTTACCAGAGGGAAGAGCCTGGATGAGTGTGAGAGTTGTCATTAGTTATTCCTTGGAGAGGTCTTCATACTTTTCCCAACCTTAGTAGGACTTTGTGCACAACAGGAGTGGAAATCTGGGAAGTTTCTAAGTGGTTCCTCAGAGAAGTTACAGAGATACTGCTGCCTTTTTAACTGAGTAAATGCTTTGCAGTTTCTGAGAAAACAGTTGTTTGCATTTTCATGTTGTTTTATGATGCTGTTTGAAAATTATTAGAGAGATTTCTCATCCCATGAGTGTTTTTTTGGATATTGATAGTAAAGTTTATAAGAATGATGATTATATGTTTGAGTCAGTAATAATGAAATGAATGTCACTAAAATAATACAATTTTAAAATTGCGTACGTGTTAAAACCAGAAAAGTAAATGAAATGCAGTGTTTAGTTCTCCACGTGAGATCATTGTGTAACAGATGCGTCTCATACTGTTTTGTAACTCCAATAGGGGATATTTTAAAACTGTAACTTGTACAGGAGAAAAGCATCCTGGAGAAAGTAAATCAATAAGAAATTTCTGAGGAGTGTTAGCATTATTTCAAAGCAGTGAGCCTCTTTTATTTTTCTGTAAGATCCTGAATACTTAATGCTTTACCCTTTTCTGCTGATTGCATCAGATGGGAACTTCTTGACAGCTCACATCTTCGCACCATTTAATACATATAAAGATGTCTAATTAAAGCCATATGGGATATGCATCTTCTACCTTAGGCTCCTTTGAAATGGCATCTGAGGGCTCTGGTTTACAGTGATCTATCCCAACTCAGTACCCCTTTCCCGTCTGGGTGACACCAGCAGCTGGTGACAGCAGGCACATTGTCTGCCAATTGGCACCCCGCTCTTGACTGGCTTCTTGCACAGCTCTTACTGAAACAAACACAAGCTCTGACAGAAGTCTGTGAAATATTTGATTATTTGGCTTTTGCTTCCGAAATGAAGATTGTTTCTGATTCACTGCAGTGCTGTTTATACAGTACAGGAGGCACTCCACAAAGCCAGGTCTGTGGCTGGGCAATCAAGGAAATCCTCTCCTTTGCCTCCTCCAAAACCCAGCGTTGGCTGTACACCCAGGTGCTTAGTTCCGCACTTGAAAAGCAGCCCTGGCAATGTGCTGTGTGGCTGGCATACCTTTTTGTCCCCAACCCCTGTGTTGTTTGCCTGCACTTAATAGTTTTGCTGGCAGACACAAGCGTGGTGCTGTCCCGCAGGATTCGCTGAGCGGGCTGTCTTGCAGCTGCTGCATTTCCCACCACTGAAACTGACAGCAACCTACTGTGTGGAGTTGCTAGGAGAAGGTGAATAGTCATCATTACAGCATACTCCTTCAGTAACAACCTGTAGAGCTCTTTAATTTCTCTTCTGCAGGGATTTATACTTCACTGCGACTCAACATTGGTCATTTTCTTCTCAAGAAGCTTGTAGATATTTACTCTTTAAAAATCAATTCGGGATCATCTAAAGGGAAGAAAGTGGTGGCATTTGAACGTGCCCTCTTTGTAGGGTGATGTGGGTGATACTGGCTTCTACCATCTGCTTTCCTATTGCAGCCTGTTTCTCCAACCTGCAGAGCAGAAGCCAGGCTTTCTTTCCTTCTGGATTGTTAAAACCGTTCACATTTATCCTGCATGGCAATGCGTTATAGTCTGTTTTAAGGAATCTTTTGTGCTTCTGTGCATATTCCTACTGCAGGCAAAGTGCGTGAGGAAGGAGCCTGTGCAGGCAGTCGGTAGCGTAGTAGCTGGCTCACGCGTATGGATTAGACTCGTGAGGTCAGAGGAGCTGTGTGCTGCTCTGTGCTTGTGTGGGGGGGAAGAGTGGATTTTTCTGCCCAAGTGAGTAGCGATTCAGGCAGAATCATCCCTCAGCTCTTGTAATTCTGATGTGTTTTGATGTGAAAGCTGCTACTGTCTAACATACGTGGATCTTCTGACGTTTGTAGTGGACTGAGGAATGCTTTTACTTGCTGCTGAGCCTGACTATAACTGTGTCACTGTAGGACAGTAACGATGGGGGCTCGAGCAACGGAAACAACTCGGGAACTGGAAAGCACCTCTATAAAGTATCAAATAGGAGGACATGCAGAGAAAATGTGGCAGCGGCTCAAAGGAATGTGAGTACTTCCCTCCTTGGCTTTTGTTCTGTTCCTTAGGAAAGACTGTTTTCATTCGTTAAAATGACTAATTAACAAATGGGAGAATTATCTCTAAGCTGTGAATAGTATTTGCTCTCATAATACAGTACATCACTCTCTTGTATCATGGTACTTAAATTAATATTGAATGCAATATAAGGTTCAATCACCTCATTTAAAAGACAGATGGCTAGTTATCCAAACTGAAATTGCAGGTAAGTCCTTTCATGTTTACACTCACTTAGCTCTGATGTGATTTTGTAAATGTTATCTTCAGAATCAGCATTGCCAGAGCTATTCCATCATTCCTGCCAATATATGTGGGTAAGTATATTACAGCAGTTCCATAGGAAGTATCAGTACTTTGCCTTTTGAGAATGCAAAGAACTCTGTTAAAAGATACCTAGTTATGGGGAGGATGCTAGGAGGATGCTTTGTCTCTGTTTTTGGTCTTTGTCTTTGTTAAATATTCTGGTGCTTAGCAATGCCAAAAACTGATTAAAGAACTGTTTGAAGGGAACACAATGCACCTGCTATGTATAATTTGGTATGCTTGTGAAAATTTCAGTGAAGGTTTTTTGGTGGAAGTGATCAATAAACAAACTTCTACAACATGTCAGGGAGAAAGTCAACTAATGTGTTCTAAACACCTTAAACTTCAGCACCTCTTCCAAGTACTTGTCTGTTTTTTTCTCTGAAATCTGGTGTCGTGATGTTACAAAGGAAAAGACATGTTACCATTCTGCTTTGAAAGTGATGATAAGACATTCATTCTAGCTGGAAATATTTGAAATACTGAGTTTCTAAAGGTATGCCACAGTTACTGTACAGTATTTCTGATGTCAAAGGAAAAAGTTTGATTGAAATCTCTGCATCAATTTGAATGCTAAATGTTGAATGCACTGGCTATGGCTCTACCTATTTCCCCTGTGCATTGGGTGGAGATTTGAGCTGGCTGTGGGAAAAGGAATTTCTGCTGTCTGCTTTCTTTCATGTGAAAGTTTGTTTGCCTCTGTGGAAAGCAACTTTTCTGTTATGGTCAGAAATTTATCAGAACTTGTTTATGATATGCTTCTGAATATTTGCTATGAATCCTATCATCATTGTTTAATATTATGCATTTTGGCAAACACATTAGCCCTAGAAACTGCGCAGTGCACTTAGAGTAAATATTCTGCCTGATGCCACACATCTTGCCTCTGAGTTTCAAACACAGAAGCACAGAATCACAAAATTCCAACCCTTGGGTTGGAAGGGACTTTCAGAGATCACTGAGTCCAACCACCCCGATAATGCAAGTGCCCTACAGGAAGTCTCACAGGTAGGCATCCAGATGAGTCTTGAGTATCTCCATAGAAGGAGACTCCACAACCTCTCTGGGCAGCCTCAGTGTCACTCTGAGAGTAAAGAATTTCTTCCTTATATTAATATGGAACTTCCTGTGTTGCAGTTTCTGCCTGTTGCCCTTGTTCTGCACTCGTTCACCACTAAAAAGAGTTTTCTTCCATCAATTTGACTTCCAGACTTTAGGTACTTATGAAGTTATAAGATTCCCTCTCTTCCTTTCCAGCAGAGACCTCCATCAGTTTGTGCAGGCTTCTATTTGTGTGGGATCTAATCTGCTGCTTTTGTTCATTTTGTATATTCTGTTACCACCAGAGTAAGAGTGGTGTTTCTTGGGCTGAAATGTTTTCCTTCAGAATTGTTCCATTAGACAAACAAAAGTAAATAACTCAACAGTAGTGATACTCAGCTTGTTTTCTGAAGCAGCTTCAGCAAATAAGGCCCAGGTTTCTTTAGGAGTAGTTAAAACAATGGTTTCAAGTATTTGAAAACTGTCTTTCACCTGACTGTTACAACTGCAGTGCTAAAATACTTGTATTTAAAAAAAATATATTATACATAAATATATTATTATATAAATGCTCAGCTGAGTATTTCTCAGACTTCCCAATGATTTCATTTTAGTCATTCCCTAGTCAAAAGGAAATCAATGACCAGTCAATGCTCTGATGGGAAAAGTTCAAAGAGTTGAGTTTTTTAGAGCACATCTTTATATTGAATTTATAGTTTAAACATCAGACATTAAGGAAAAGGATTAATTTTGCTGGTGCAGATACATTTGTTTGTATGTGGGAGGAAAGATGGACAGATAAGTAGGACCAACACTCATTTGGGAAGAATCCTTTATGAATTGTCAGGAGAATTGTTTTGTCTTAGGGGGAGAACTATTAGTGAAACTGTGTGTGTGTGTGTGTAAGTAAATTACACCCTTATAGTAATATTTCTACACTTTAGTCAAGATGTAGTGTGAATTATGGGGCTGAATCTTTTCTTGCTCTAGTCCAGAGGACTGCTAAATGCAGTCTACTTTACTTTGTTAGTTGAGAGTTCCAATCATCTTCTTGCAAGCAGGTCATTACTTGTGAAAGATCATTGGATTTCATTTGGGTAACTGTCTAGTTAGTGTTTAAAAGATACACAGTGGGCCCTTAACTAAGATAGTATTTCACTTTATCATGTCAGCTTTATACATAATCTACATTTAAATAAAGATTTGTGTGCAGAGTTCCATATACATTTAATCTTGTAGGTCTTTTTAAAAATTATATTTTATTTCTATTTTTTTATTTTCTAAATGCAGTCTGTTGTTTAAGCTGGTTGAACTGAATACACTTCTCAAAGAATGAGAAATCTGCATATGAGTAACAAATGAGAAAACTGGGCAGTGTGAACAATGTTGGAGGGAAAAGCCTTTCTACATAGTTTCTATTCCAACAGGTACCATGCAAACCAATAATCTACTGCTCTTCTTATGTCCTGCAGTAAATACTTGGGTATGTAGAATAAGAGTCCATACCTAGCTTCTGCCCTGTCTATGTGGCCTTAGAGCCAAGTTCTGCCTATTGCATTGTAAGTCAAAATCCGACTCTTATCTTCATACTGAAACTGTAGCAGAAACTGCAGCACTGCTGCAAATGAAGAACTTCTCTGGCAGAGGAAAGGTTAATTTGAAGTAAGTTGATCCTAAGCATTGGTACTAAGTTAATTGATGTCTGAGTGTATAAAACACAAGCTTGCTGTAACAGGACTTACTTGTGGAAAGGAATTGTGTACACTTCTGTCTTGACTCAAGCTTCTGATTTTGAATTAAGACATTTTCAGTATGCAGACTGCAAGCTTCTACTGTTTCATACTTCAGGGAGAAAGCAGACACAAATAGCAAGTGCCAGCAAAATATGTCGTATAACAGTGTGATTTAAATAATTCTTTGTTACTCAGAAGAGTAAAAGCAAAAGCAGTTCAAACTGTTGTCAGCAACTGGAATTGGCACTGCCTGCCTTGGGAACGTGTTGTGTATGTTCCTCTCTGGAAGGAATCTCCTCATGGTCTGTCCAGGTGCATCCTTCTCAGAGCATTTAATGCCACTGAGTTCTTGCTTAGCCTTTCACTCTGTGAGGTAAGAATTTACTTTAGACAGTAACTAAGTCTCCAGTTTAATAGTATTCTGGTGTCAACAGGACTGAAGTATTTGCTGCCCATGAAGGCTTCTCTTCCAATACTTACAGAGAGTATTAGTGAGCTCAGAAAGAGATGCAACTTCTTTTAAGCATTTTGCTTCACAAGGGTTCACCCAGAGAACCAGATTTAAAGAAGGGCTCTGTATGCTCACTGACTTTGCAGCGTTTGGTGTTCTCCTTAATCTGCAGTTGACTTAACCCTGTGTTCCTCATTATGCTGAGGAATGGTGCACAGTCTGTTTACAGTATGCCTTGGCTGTCTGCCACTTTACTCAGTGTCACATACAGAACAGACTCACCCACAATATACCTTTTGTTGCAAGTAGGCATCTTTTTTGCAAGACGCTTCTTCTGTCTCCACTACTGTTGAACCCAGTATTAGGAATGAGTTCCATTTCTGAGCTTTACGTTAATTTGTGAGAAAATAACTTTTTTCATGGCATATTTGCCAGAATTCTTTGGGAGATCTCTGAATAGAAAAAGTTAAAATGGAGCATCTGAAATATCTGTGGGGTTTGAGTTCACTGTAGTTAAAATAAACTATTTCCTGTAATTGTTACTGATATAAATCAGAAAATATTTGCTATTGCCATTGCTGTCCACTAAAACTAATTTGTGCTAAGCTGGATGGCAGCCGGGATTGAGGAAAAGCAGAACCTTCTTGTCATATCTTCTTCCCTTTCTGTTACTCTGCATCCAAAAACAGACTTCAGAAAGGAGAGTTTTTAGGCACTAAAAGCCTGACTCTCCTGGAGTCAGTTTGTTGAACCTAAGGTGCTGCAGTAACAAATGCCTATTGCTGCATGCGTGCAAATTCTGTAGAGGAAAAAAGGGTTCTAGTCAGTGAGCTGGGGAAACTTGACTTGAAAGGAAAGTAGAGAAATGCATTCCTTCACACCTGCTGAACTGAAAGCAAAAATGCTTTTAAAGGCATCAAGTGCAGTCCACAGGTTAGCAGCCTGCTAGGTCTAAAAGGGACTGGAATGGATAATCTCAGGTAGGAAACCTCCCTCAGTTGTGCCTTTATCAGACTCTCAGATACTGGTGGGAAGAGCTGTGGAACAGTTCTGAGAACCTTGTTTGATTTTTTTTTTTTTTGGTTGGCTTTTTCGTGTCTTGTTCATATTCTATTTTATACTGTATTTGGCATTTAAGTTTGCTTGGAAAATAACATGTCTATACGTGCAATTTGTCTAAGCCATGAAAGCTCACAAAAAGTTAAGTGGAGAGATTATCATGATCAAAACCTGACGTTTTGTGATATAAAGGTTTGTAAACTTATGAGTACTGTAGAATCAAAGGAAAAAAGATTAACTAGGAGGGGGGAAACTGATAAAAAATGAGCCAGAAATTGTCGAGTAGTGGGAACTACATTAGGAACAAATGAATATACAGTTCAAGAAGTTTTTACTTGTAATATTGCATTTTTTTTTTTCCCAATGTGAAAACTTTACTTTA